GAGCCTGAGAAAGCCCTGCTCTCCTGGGTGAGCCTGAGAAAGCCCTGCTCTCCTAGGTGAGCCTGAGAAAGCCCTGCTCTCCTGGGCAAGCCTGAGAAAGTCCTGCTCTCCTAGGTGAGCCTGAGAAAGCCCTGCTCTCCTGGGTGAGCCTGAGAAAGCCCCTTCTTGGCCCGCTGCTCTTAGTTAATTCATTTTAACTTAGGATGTGTGTGTGTATGACGTGTGTATGAGGGCAGGCATGTGCTGCGGCATGTGTGTGGGGGGGTATGGGGTCGACTGTGGGGATGGTTCTCTGGCCCCACCTCTTCCACCCTGTGCTGGATAGTTTCATGTCAGCTTGACACAGGCTAGCGTCATCCGACAGATGAGACTCCACTGAGAAAATGCCTCCATAGTTTCGGGTTGTGGGCAAGCCTACGGGGCATTTTCTTAATGACGGATGGGCGAGGGCCCAGTTCATGGTGGGTGGGGTCATCCCTGAGTTGGTGGTCCTGGGTTCTATAAGAAAGCAGGCTGAGCAAGCCATGGGGAGCAAGCCAGTAAGCAGCACTCCTCCATGGCCTCTGCATCAGCTCCTGCCTCCAGGTTCCTGCCCTGCTTGAGTTCCTGCCCTGACTTCCTTCGATGGTGAACAGTGATGTGGAAGTGTGAGCCAAATAAACCCTTTCCTCCCCGAGTTGCTTTGGTCATGGTGTTCGTCACAGCAGTAGAAACCCTGACTAAGACACACCTTTGCGTGGCTCTGGGAATTGAACTCAGGCCATCGGACTTTTGAGGTAAGCACTGTTACCCGCTGAGCCATCTCACTGACCTCTGTTTTTATTTATCTTTTAAATTAAAAATAACATTTAAAATGTATTATGGGGGAGGTTAGAGGTCAACTTTGTGGCATCTCTTCCACCTTTCCGTGTGTTCCCCTGGGCCAAACTCAGGCTGGCAGGCTTGTGTGGCACCATCCCTACCACGGGACCACCACGCCAGCTCCTCAGGGGCTGCCTTAAGAGGTCAGACCCACCCTCAGCAAGACCGCAGCACAGGATGCCTGGAGAAGTCTGTCTGTCCTCACATCCCATTCTCACTTTGTCCTACTGAGTGTCTGTGCTAATGCTGTAACAGCAGAGACAGCAGAGGGTGGCAGCGGCCAGTTAACGAAGAGAAGAAGTCCCCAGCCCCTTCCCGGGAGAGGCTCACACAGCACCTCTAAGGGGAGCCCCCCACCCAGAAGACAGACTTGGGAGTGAATGCAGAAAGCGTTCAGTTCAGAAGAGGAAACTCTCAGGAAAGAGGGGGAGGTGGTGGGGGAGAGCCTTCTCAAAGCAAAAATATTCTCCAGCCACAAAAACATCTGAGAAAGAATTCTTCTCTGGAGACGAAAAGGAAAAACAGGGCCTTAACTCCCTTCCCAGGCAGATGGGCAGCTATCCCTGCCGGTCTCTTTGGGGCCTTTTCCAACTCCGAGGGGCAGGAAGAAGTCGGGAGCAGGACCATCTGACTGTTTCCTCCCGCACACTCCCCTGGCCGGCAGCCCAGCAACCAAACCACCACCAAATATGGGCAGAAACACGCACGCTCGGTTCCAAGAACGGCCAAGCTGCCCTGGAGCATAGTTTCCACTAGGCACCCTGTGACTCCTGCACGAACAGGCGGGGATGGGACAGTGGCGGGCTCTGGGGGACGGTGACAAAGGCTTTAAGAAGCTTCAAGGCCTCGAGACTGATCTAGCTCGCAGCTCACCCTTCAGCTGTAATCGGGGTTTCTATCACTCAACTAGAGACCAGTGGGTAGGAGGGTCCCAGAGGCCCCTTCAGTTCTGGGGGCCGTACCTGTTGGGGGGAGTGGGAAGAACTCGCCATGCAGAAGTGACTACATGGCGCTTTCTCCCAATACCCCCACATTCCGCAGGGGCAGGGCCAGGCCTCCCAGGGGAAATGGACCCCAGCAAGGAGCTCACATCAGGGCAGGATTCCAGCGCCCAGATTCACCCTACACCCCAGTGCTAGCTCCTAAGAAGCCCCTCTGCAGGATCCAGGCACAGAGCTGGCTCTGGGGGAGGGTGCCTAGGCTCCTGTCTCTCTCCCTTCCCTTGGGTGTGGAGGGTTCGTGTTGGGTAGGCCTCAGTCACGTCTATCTAGGGTGTTCCTGAACAACTCAACAAAAGACGGACATCTCTCCCCTTGTTCTACACCATGTAGCCCAGGATTGCCGTCATAGGGCTCCAACTCCTGTCTCCTGTGCTGAGGATGCATTCAGAATGACTCCCTGGCTGGCCAGTCACACACAATGACAACTCTAATTTCCAAACAGGGCAAAGGGAGCCTAAGTTTTGCTTAGGTGATCGGAGTTGCCAACCTGGCCCTATGGCCTCACATGTCTGCAGTTCTGCTGCGTGGGCTGATGATAGACAAGGTCCCTCGGATGCCACCTGACGCCACCCTTCTCACCAGCTGGAGCGCAGGGCAGTCCTAACCAGGGACATCTTGGGTTTGTCTAGAGGTCAATCCCACGTTACCTCCCACCCCGAAAGTCCTCACCTCAGGCTCCCAGTTTCCCTCTGGCCGCCCCACCCAGGGAAATGTGTGCTTCCTGAGAAAGTACAGGCCAGAGTGGCCTTGGGGGTGAGAGGTGCCGGCTCCTGGGGGCTCCTCAGCTGTTCGCTCAGCCTCTGACGTGCACCTAGAACCCAGAGTCTCAGGAGTGTGGACGGGCTTCCCTGTGACCCCTTCCAGCTTCAGCTCCCGGCAAAGGTCAGCCAGCGAGCCGGGGCCGTGAGCGCACACATGAATGTACCCGCCATGTTCTTTCCAGGGCTGGTTGAAAGAGGAAGGAAGGGGTTGTGGAACCTTTTCCCTCCCTGGTGGGGGGTGATGGAGGGAGGCAGTGTCAGAAGGGGCTGGAGCAGCTGCTTTCTCTGGCTCTACTCTTTGGGGATGAACACATCTCCGACGGCTCGGCTGTCGGGCAATGCTGTCTGTCACCCTGGGACTATCTGCCCAGGATTCTATCACGTCACTTCATTCCTCACCCCTGCTCCCCACCCTGTTTCCTCGGCCATCCACCCACCTGGGAGCACACAGGTGTGAGCATGGATATATACACACACACACACACACACACACACACACACACACACACACACACACACACGGACTCTAGATAAGAGGTCCTCGTCCCGGGCAACAGTCTTTATGCCTCATTCTGATGGCCAGTTACAGGCAGATTCTCGCTTTGTGTCTCATTATGGTGGGCATGAGTACCAAGCACACTTTACATGGTAGGTGGGAAGACACACAACCCAGGAGACAGAAATTATGTTCTCAAAGGCCTTATGACCTTTACGGCTCTCAGACTAGTGGCTTATGTTATCAAATCAAATCAAAACCATATCAAATGGTTTCCTCTCAATCCCACCAAAGAAACGCAGAACTTGTTTGCCAGAGAAACACCAGGGATGAAGTGGGAGGTGTGGAGATGCTTGTGCCTGGTGCCAGAAAGCAGCAGCACTATCCCTGGGCCACTTTGGCAAGGACTGTTCCCACCCATCACCAAAAGGCCACAACGCGGAGCTCCCTGCAGGCCTTGGTGCACTTCTGCATTTGGCCAGTAGAGGGCGGACAGGCACCGACTAAACTTTTAAGTGGGGGTGCCACGTCTCAACCTTGTCAACAGGCACCCATCCCTCCAAAGCCAGGACTCTGAAAGTTGCATGTGCTTTCCTGTTTCTCCTCCTGTGCTCAGGACTTTCACTACCTACAGACAATAAAAGCGAGGCACCTATTTTCAAGCCTGTTCCTTGCAGACTACAGCTAAGGGGCCTTCGGACGGCAGCACATGCCCCCTTTATGGTCTCTCCAGTCTCTAACCTGCCTAAAACGTGTGTTAATGAGGCAGGCCAGCCAGGTCTGTCTCTAGGGCGTCCCACTCTTCAGCCGATGTCTGTTATGGTGTGTTATGGTATGTTATGGTGTGTTATGGTATGTTATGTCAGGGCTGTGTAACAGGCACCTGGTATGTACATTATTTCCTATTTTCTCACAGTAACTGCCATGTGATCATTGCCTTCTCTCTCCACACGAGACAAAGGCATGTTCAGAGAGCTCGGATCACTGGCCAGTGAAGTCAGTTTGTCTCAGAAGCTTGCCTCACATGGCTCCCCACTTCCCCACACCCCTTTGGGAGAACGGAGGAAGACACTGTCACTTGAAGGCCATAGGTAAGCCATTCATCTGGCAACAAAACATGGCGTCCCAAACTGCTTCAGCTCCTGATGGAAGTGGGACCCAAGGCCAGGCGACCTCCTCATGCCGTGGGGCTCCTGCCTTGCTGACCTGCCTGATGGTTCTGAGCCAATTTTCCCTGCTCCTCGCTCTGCCCAGAATGGAGGCGACCGCCTTTAACAGGGGCTGGAATCAAGGAGGGTTAAGTCACTCTTCCCTGGGGCCAGAGCTCGGGGGACAGATGTGAACAGGAAAGCACAGGGGTCAAGAGGGCAAGAAAAAGTGAGTCATGAGGCTGGTTATGCAGCCCCTCCCTCCCTGGAGCGGCTGAGGAAGTGTGCTGGGGAGGGCTGGCTGATAACCTGGGGGAGGGCGCCAAGGCCCAGCTAACAGCACACAGCACTCCGGCCCTGCAGGCTCCCAGTAAACAAACCTCGGGGTGCAGAGAAGAGGAGCCAGCAGGAGAGAGCCAGTTCAGACCAAGCAGCTTCTACTGAGGAAGCACAGGCCTCCTAAAGCAGCTTTAGAGGGAAGGCTGCTAATGTCAGCCACAGCTTACCTCAACACACCTCAATTCTCCGCCATAACTTGGCACAAGCAACAGGAGCCTCTTAAAGAAGCTTGTGATGCAGCCAGGAGAGAAAGATGAGGGGTGAGGGGCACAGAAAGAGGCTTCTGGGGGGGGGGCAGGCTGTGCAAAGCCCCTGTGGAGCCCAGAGACTACCCACCACCTCATCCAGGGTTTTGTGAGGCAGGGCCAGTGAGTGTGTGACCCCTTGAGTGTGTGTGGTGGGAGTGTTTGTGTGGGTCATCTAGAGCTTCCTGAGATGCTAACGGAGTAAATGAAGCCCCAGAGGAGGGGGGGGGGGAAGTCTGAGGCAGGGCCACCACTGAGACACAGGCTGCCTGGCTCATGGTGTGGCTGCCTTTCAGACATGTTTGAGAAATAGTCATACAAAAATCATTCAGTTTAGCTGACGCTCTACCTCACTGAGCATCTTACGTTATTAAAGACTTTTTAAATGACAGTTGTTTATCTTGGGTGTATGGATATCTGTGAGTACAAGAGTGGTCACGTGGAGGACAACTTGCAAAAGTCAGTTCTCTCCGACCACCATGTGGTTCCAGGGGCTTGAACTCGGTCGGGTCTCAGGCTTGGTGGCACATGCCTTAACCCACCGAGCCGTGCGTGCCACAAGACTTCCCTGGTATTCTTATTTGCTCAATCCGGCAACCCTCATTTGCGGTCCTAGTCACAGCCCAGCCTCTAGCTCTCCTCTTTCCGAGCCATTTCTTCATACAGACTCACAAAGGGTCCCAGTACGTTAAGAAGAGCAGACAGCACGCACCTCCACAGCCCTGGGCCACCTTTGGAAAAGCCGCGTTAGTGCCCTTCCCATCCTCCCAAAGCAGCACTGACACAGTCGGGGACACAGTCGGGGACACAGTCGGGGACACAGTCGGGATAGAGTGTGCTCCAGCTGTCCCGGACAGGGCCCAGTCCAGTGCTCCAAAGACAGGAGTCACAGGCCAGGACAAGACAAGAACACCCTCACACACAAAACCAAACTCCTCGCTGTGCGTGGTAGTCCTTGCCTGTAATCCTAACACTTGAGAAGTTGAAGCAGGAGAATTTTGAGTTCGAGGCCAGCCTAGGCTATATAGTGAGACCCTATTAAAAAACAAAAAACAGGGCTGGAGAGATGGCTCAGAGGTTAAGAGCACGGACTGCTCTTCCAGAGGTCCTGAGTTCAATTCCCGGCACCCACATGGTGGCTCATAACCATCTGTAATGAGATCTGGTGCCCTCTTCTGGCCTGCAGTCATACATGCTGTTTACATAATAAATAAATTTAAAAAAAAAAAAACAAGCCAGGTGATGGTGCTCACACCTTTAATCCCAGCACTCAGGAGGCAGAGGCAGGAGGATCTCTGTGAGTTTAAGGCCAGCCTGGGCTACAGAGTGAGTTCCAGGACAGCCAGGGCTACACAGAGAGACCCTGTCTCAAAAAACAAAACAAAACAAACAAATAACAACAACAAAAGACCTATTCCCACAACTCCCTTCAACTTTACAAGACAATCAAAAGTACTGACGAATACAAAAGCAAGGAGTAAGAAAGAGCCTTTCCTGGAACCCATGAGAAGGCGAGCTGGGTTTCCTGGGGCCTTTTCCAAGGCGCCATGCCAGCAAAGGTGTGTGGGGTGCTGCTGTGAGGAGACAGCAGGCTGGGAGGGGAGTGTGCGGGAGTCGAATCGCACCTGGAGCTCACGCCAGGACGGGGACTACAGTTCTCACAGCTGACACCTCACCTTTAGAGGGCTGGGTACCAGTGTTGCCTTTGAAAAGTGATTTCAGCAGTATGATAAGGCATGCCTGTTTGAGAGTGTGTACTAGTGGGGAGACGGGGAGGAAATAACCAATAATAAACTTCACTCAATGTAAAAAAGAAATGGAAGGAAGGAAGGAAGGAAGGAAGGAAGGAAGGGAGGGAGGGAGGGAGGGAGGGAGGAAGGAAGGAAGGAAGGAAAGTGATTTCAGCAATGACTTCTCCAAAAATCCTTCCCAGCCTGGCTTCCAACTGGGGCACCCTGACACCCCTCCGTTGAGCTGGAGAAGGGCCAGCTTCCATTCCCTAGAGGACGGACTTCCGGTGCTAAAGCAAGGGGACTGTCCACACCCTGCTCCCCCTGGGACCCACTGCCACTCACCAGTGTAACCGCAGTGCATGGAGGAAGGCCGAGAGACCCTCCATGATCAGCAGGATGGCCACAGTCAGGGTGGCAAAGGCGGCGAAGATGAAGAACAGCCCTAACCCTCCGGCCAGACTCCGAACGTGCAGGCCGATGTGGATCACCATGGTCCAAAGGACTTCCGAGAGCTCTGGGGAAGGGGAGACACCGGGGGAGTTGAATTTAGCAAAAGTGGGGGGGGAGATGTATGACCTCTGTGTTTTGCTCTGCTACCATTTACCTGGAGAGGTCCTTGAAAAGTGCCGTCCTAGCCCTGGCTGTCCTGAATTCACCCTATAGACCAGGCTGGGTGCAGACTCACAGATCCACCTGCTTCTGCCTCCCAAACGCTGGGACTAAAGGTGTGCACCACCACCACCCATCGAAAACTGTGTTCCTACAGTTTGGGCAGCATCACCACCAGCGGCTAACCTGAGTAAGAGCAGATTCACCTTATCTGCACTCATTCTTGGATTTAGGAGCTGGACTGATCCCGGAACCTTCCTGTCTTTCCATGCTGGGGCAGCCACCACTGATCTAAGGGAGCTCTGTGAGGCAGGGAGGGGACGGGAGAGAACAGACTCACGTGCATGCGCAAGGCTGAGGGCCCAGAGCCGCAGGTAGGAGGCAGTGTTGGAGATGCAGCCCAGGCAGTACTCGATGGTGTGGATGGCCTGGTGAACCATGGTGTCCGCAAAGTCAAACTGGCATGGGAGGAAACCACAGAGGAGACGTCAGGGTGGGAGGGGAGTGTGCAGGAGCTGACTTGCTCCTGGAGCCCATGCCAGGGCGGGGACTACATTTCTCATAGTTGACACCTCACCTGTAGAGGGGCTGGGTATCAGGGTTGACTTCAAAGTGATTTCAGCAATGACTTCCCCCAAAATCCCTCCTGGCCTGGCTTCCAACTGGGGCACCCTATCACCCCCTCAGTGCACTACATTGTACCTTGTTCTTTTTTTTTTTTTTTTTTTTTTTTTTAAGCCAGAGTTTCACTATATAGTTTCAGGCTGATCTTGAACTTGGAACCCTACCTCCTTAGGCTTTTTGTGCTGGCTTTGTGATGTGTGCCGCTGCATTAGGAAAGCCTATCTTTTTTTTATTTTATTTGCAAGAGTGCTCACTTGCAAGTGAGTGCATATGCAGTACTCCTGGAGTCCAGCAGAGGGGGTTGGATTTCCTGGAACTGGAGTTACAGGTGGTTGTGAACCACCCTGTGGGTGCTGGAACTGAACCTATGCCCTCTGCAAGAGCAGCCATCTCTCCAGCCTCAAACTGTGTATCTTTTTTTTCAGACAGGGTCTCACTATATAGTTCTGGCCGGCCTAGAACTCACCATGTAGATCAGGCTGGCTTCAAACTCAGAGAGCTATCCACCTCTGACTCCCAAGTGCTGGCTTTAGAGGTGTGTGTTTCCATGCCCATTACACTATTTTGTTTTGTTTTTTTAAAGATTTATTTATTTACTGTTTTTTTTTTT